TATGCTCTGTCTGGCGGTCTTCCTTGCCCCCTTCCCCATCTCATGACTTTCATTTGCAGGCATTGGAATTCGAGAAGCCAGTTTCTGACCACATGTCCAGCCCTGTCCAGGTCCTCTTTGCAGTCCTCCTCATCCTCATTTTCCGATTTACTTCTTCTCATCACTTCACATCATCTGCGAACAGGACACTTTCAGAGTCTATTCCTCCCATGTCGTTCACAATATATCAAAATAGCCTGGTCCTAGAACTGACCTTCCTGTGGGACCCCGCTCGTTGCTGCCTCCCTGTCATGTATCCCTTATCCTTGCAGTGCCCCCCTGTTATATCCCCCGATTCCAGCTTCTGCACTAATCTCTTTTGGGAAAACTGTGTCAAAGGCCTTCCTGCAGTTTTGGAAAAAGAAATCTACCACCCCCTCTCTCTCGGTTTATTTTCTGTTCCCTTGTCATAAAACTCCAGGAGGTTTGTGATACAAGATTTGCCTTCCATAAAACCCTGCGGGTTTTTATTTACAATTTGTTCCTTTCCAGGTGTTCGACCATCTCCTCCTGTAATCTTCTCCATGACTTTGACATAATACATTCAGAGACACAGGTCTGTAGTTAGTGCCTCTTTTCGTTTTTTTTCTTAATATGGGGATACATTAGCGTTTTCCCATTTTCAGGTATTTCCCCCTGTTTTTCAAGGGATGTGTTAAAATTTGTGGTTAGAGGCACCACACATCTCTGCCTTCTCTAAGGCCCCAGGGGGAGATGTTGTCCGGCCCCATCCCCTTTTGAGGTGTCAAGGCCACTTGGGAGCTTCTTCCCCTCCTCCTCAGTTTTCGTTTTCATCCAACATTTGTTGGTATTTTCCCCTCTTGATTTTCCCCTTCTGTCTGTCTTCCCACCCCCTTCCTGTCTCTACTTTTAAAAATTTCCCTTTTAAATCCCCTGTTCAGCCCCTCATATACCTCTTGATCATTTCTTGGGGTTCCCCACCTTCGGTCCCTTAATCGATCACCTGGTCTTTGACTGTTGTTTTCCCTTTGGGTTTGGCTATAAACGGTTGGGGTCAGTCTTGATTCCGTGCTAGTCTTTTTTCATACTGTCGTGGGCCCCTCCTTACCTGTGTATCATTCCTGGCTCTGCGATGTCTCCCTTTTTTCGTGTTTTCCCTCTGCTTTCTGTACTTTTTTTCCATTCTTTTTGTACTTTTGTTTTTGCTTATACACCGGGGTAAACCCCGGGGTCGTTCTGGTTTTCCCGTTGTT